CGGCAGGCAGCAGGTACTCTCCTCTGTCACCAAAGGCGGCTGCGGCGGTGCCATCTGTTCGGCAGGCGCAGCCCCGTGCCACGCTGTGCTGCAGGAGCGACGCCAAAGTGCGCGGACCCTGCTGGGCCACCCGCACGGGAACCGGGCTCTGAGCGCGCTGACCGATGCGACTTCCAGCCCTGGGGAAAAGACGAGGGCAGGATGGCAGCGGGTGGGGCTGGGGGGGGGGCAGCTGGGGGCGGGGGGGTTCCGGGGCTCCGGTGGGGGCAGTTCCCCAGCCCACCCATGGCTCGGGAAGGTGGGTACCTTGTGGGGTGCCAGAGGCAACCGAAACCCCAGCTGCGTCCCAGCGAGGACACAGCAGTCGCAGGGCTGGAGCGGCGCTGGGAAGCCTCACGCCAGGCTCCGTCCCGCTCCGCTTGCTCGTGAGTGAAAGGATTTGTCAACATGGAGCTGATGAGTCCCACGGGATGGCCAGCTTGCCCGCCTACCAGCACCTCCTGCCGCAGGCACCGGAGAGCAGGCTGGCCCCCAGCAGCCAACTGCGCCAGAGGGTCTGCACCCTCTGTCCCACCAAACACCCCGGTGTGGGGTCCCCAACTCCGCCGCCCGGCAGCTCCGGGGGTGCTGACCCCATAAGGTGTTTCTGCAAGATGCTCAGTGTAACCCAGGCAGTGCTTGGCACACGGAGCAGCCACACGCCGCGGAGAGAGGAATATTCTTTCACTGGGAGAACAAGAAGAGCCCTTTGATGGCTGCCTTGTCCCTTGTAAACACCAACTTTGAGAGCATCAAATTACAGCCGCTGCAGCGGTTCCAAACAAGATGGTAATCAGGAGTGCGGGAGGCACTGTGCCTGCACCGCGGGCGCTGCAGGGCAGCGGGGGGCACTGGGGGCCCGGCCCAGTGGCACCACTGAGGCCGTGACACTCGCTCCTGCGCTGCAGGACTGCTGGGGCCCAGTGCGAGTGACGGTCCTGTGGCCACCCCAAACCCCACACGGCCCTGGGGGTGCGGGAGCTGCCTGGCCCTGGCAGGACCATTGCTTGCGCATCCCTGGGTGCCGGGGTGCAGGCGCAGAGGAGGGACCTGGTGGGCACAGGGCATCCGTGGCAGGGAAAGGATTGCAGTTGGGCTGCAGCCCGGTCCGCTGCAGCCCTCGGCAGGCATGGGTGTGTGGCGTGGATGGCTCCCACGGTGAGGGCTGGGGTGGACCAAGCCCCCGTGGGGACTTGGTGGTGCTGCTGCTGCCCTCCCTCCCAGCATTGCGGCCTGGGGATGTGCGGTCCGGGCATCCCGGGGGGATGCAGGCTCCCCACAGTCTGAGGGATGCAGGGTACCCACAGCCTGGGGGGTGCGTGGTACCCACAGTCTGGGGGATGTGCTGTCCCTGCAGCCTGGGGGATGCAGGGTCCCCACAGCCCGGGGGGTGCGGGGTACCCACAGCCTGGGGGATGCAGGGTCCCCACAGCCCGGGGGGTGCGGGGTCCCCACAGCCCGGGGGGTGCGGGGTACCCACAGTCTGGGGGATGCGCTGTCCCTGCAGTCTGGGGGATGCAGGGTCCCCACAGCCCGGGGGGTGCGGGATCCCCACAGCCCGGGGGGTGCGGGGTACCCACAGTCTGGGGGATGTGCTGTCCCTGCGGTCTGGGGGATGCAGGGTCCCCAGCCCCCAGTGCTGCGGGGCCCAGCCTGCAGCCCGTGTGCTGCACAGAGCCCGGACCCCGCGGCCGGCAGATCTGGGGGCAGCTGCCTGCAATGCGGGGCTCCCCCCTCACCTCTGCCCCGCGGCCCCCGGGCAGCCGCCCCCCCGCCCCGGCAGCGGGCAGGGACCCGGCGATTCCCCCGGGCAGCCCCGCACGGAACGGGGCGGGGGGTGCCCCGTCCTGCCGCCCCTTTCCCCCTCCCCGCGGCGGGGAGCTGCGTGTCCCCCCTTTCCCAACCCCCCCCCCCCCCAGCCCCGGGGCCTCCGCGCTCGGCCGGGCCGTGCCGGCGGGGACACGCAGGACCGCGGCTGCGGCTCCACGCCGGCCCCAGCTGCCCACGCTGCGGCAGCTGGCGGGGTGGGCGGGCGGCGGATCAGCTGCGCGCTGAGGCCGGGGATCAGCTGCGCCCCGCTCCGCGCATCTCCGCGCCGGCTGGGCCCCCCCGGGGAGGGGCGGCAGCCCCGGCCCCACGGCCCCCGCCGGGCCCCCCCCCTCCCGCCCTACCTGCCCGCCGCCCCGCCCGGCCCTCCCCGGGGCCGCTGGCTGCCGCCCAGCCCGGAGCTTCCCTCCTCCTCCTCATCCTCCTCATCCTCCTCCTCCTCCTCCCGCTCCTGCGGGCGCTGGCAGCGGCGCGCACAGCCCTGTCTAATCTCGTGGGTATAAAATCCACGCTGCGGCTTTTGCCGTGGCGGAGACCGAGCGGTTCCCGGGCTGCGAGCCCGCCGGCCGGCCGGGGGGCCCGGGGGGAGCGGGATGCTCCTCTCCGGCGGTGATTATCCGCCCCCCCCCGCACACTGCAGCCATAGCAACAGCGATGGGCTGTCCCAGCCCGAGTCTGCAGTGCAATAAAAGGAGAGAGGGACGCAGGGAAAGAAAGAGCCGCTCGTTGCACTGGGCAATCTCCTACGGGGTTGGCACAAACAAACAGCAACTGGAAGCAACTGGAGCCAATCCCCCCAGCTCCCTTTGTAATGCTTTCTGACACAGATTCCCTCTCCATGGCTGACTTTGCAAGTTTCCCCATCCTCTCCCCTCTCCGCACGGCTTCTTTTCATGCGACTAAATTATACACGAGAGGAGGGACAGGCTGGAAATCCTAGTGAAAAAATAAAAATGTGCAGGTTTGTGCAGGCGGCTGCAGCCTGGCTGCCTCCAGGACTCCTCCTGCGAGCGAACAGGGACAGGACCTGGTCCCGGGTCAGTAGCATTAAAGCCCATGGATTTTGAAACCACCAAGAAAGAAGCTTTTCCTGCAGAGAGGAGAGCAGCGGCGTGCAGACCCGGGCTGTGCCTGCGGCGAGCCTGCGGTGGGTGCCGGGACCGCGGCCCCTCCACGAGCGGCGGCGGCTGCCCCAGCACGCAGCACCCCTGGGGATGGAAGACGATGCATTCGCTTCCCCCGAGAAACGTCTTGTTTAGGGGCCAGTAAAAAATATGCAAATCTGGCAGGGCTGGGCCTCTAAGGCAGCCTTCCTCCCCCCATCGCTGTGGTCGGGTGGGAGCGAGCTGAGCCCCGAGCAGCAGAGGGAAGGGAAAGGCAGGGCCGGAGGGAGCACGGGGGCGGCTGGGGAGGCTGTAGGCTGAGATTTGGGATGCCACGGAACAGGACGGGGAGATATGCGTGGGATAGCGGCTCCTCCAGGCAGCGGGCATGTGGAGAAGGCTCCTGTTCCCTGCAAGCCCGGGTGGGTGGAGCGTGCTGTCACTTTTTGGTGCTGGGCAAGCCCGGCATCGCTGTCGCAGAATTGCTGCCTGTGCTCTGATGAGTCAGTAACAGCGCTGCCACGTTTTCCTCCTACCAGGCAGCGTCCCGTTGCGGGTCGGTCATGCTCCGCACCGGGATGCTCCCGCACACGCGGTGCTGGTTCAGCCCCGGAGCCGCGTGGGTGGGTGAAGCTCCAGCAGCGACTCCCTGGGGAAGCCCCTCGGAGCGAAGGGCTGCGCAGGGGCGAGGACACTGACCTGCAACTCGGGCGCGATGCGGAGCGCCGGGCTCAGGCGGTGATCCCGCGGGACACGGGCATGTTCCTGTGCCTGCGTCCCACCTCCTCTGCCAGACAATGAAACACTGCCCTCCTTCCCAAGTCACAGCAGAACAAATAAAGCAAGCGCCATATGGTGCCAAGACGCGTTGGAAATGGGGCCAAGCCCAGAAGGTTGGGGAGATGGCAAGGCTCCCTCCCCACGCCAGCCCCCATCTCGAGCTCCCGGCCAGGACTGGCCTTGGGGGAGCACTGTACCCTCTCCTCCTCCCCCCACAGCCATGCCCCACTCCCCATGCTGCCAGGCACAGCTCTGCATTTCAGCCACGGCTTTGCAGTGACTCACTTGTCCTCCTCCCTGCACGCAGCGGTTGGGGAGCATGGAAAGCAAAGCTGTCCCCAAGAGCCCTTCTTCCTCCAAGGGCTGGGCTAGGGACACGGGAGTCACCACTGGGCTGGCACTGGGGCACTGGCAGGAGATAATGCCCCACGACCTGCCACAGGACACTGCACGTCCTGCTACCCTTCCCCCAGAATCACAAATAGGAGCTGAAGCCATGGACAGCTTGTCCTCTAAAGCCCCTGCAGACCTGGGGCCAGAGGAGAAGCTTCCCCACAGCTCCGGGACACCACGGATACAGGACCCTCCTGTGAGCTGAAAGTGGCCTCGTGTTTCTGTCTGCCACAGCAATCCTCCTGCCTGGACACACTCCCAAAAACCTGCAGCTCACGGATGCCTCGTGTGTCTTCAGGCAAGTCACCCCCAAACTCAGGCACCTAGAAGTGAGACAGCTCCAAGCAGAGCTGGGCATCCCGACGGCTGGGCTTTCAGAGGTGCAATTGCTGCAGTTCACTCCCCCCCGCCCCCCTGGCAGCCAGCTCTGTGGAGCAGACAAGCATCCCCCCCCCAGCACCCAGCCCACCCTGTCTGCCTGGGACTAGGGCCTGGCCCGGGACAGCACATCCCAGAGCTTCCTCCAGGGCTGGATGCGATCATCTCCCGGGGGGAAGAGGGGCTCCCGGATCCTCCCAAACTCTAACAGACCTTCTGCAGATTTAGCAAGCAGATGCCAGCCTCGGGGAAGGGGAGCCCCCTTCGCAGAGCCAGTGAGGTACTCACACACCCTGCCACCCTCATTTGCCCCATTCCCTCTGCAAGGGCAGAGAGGGGAGGGCTTGGCTCTGCCTTCCAGGTGGATTGACTCAAAACGAGGATTTCTTGAAGGTTTTGTAGCCATGGGGCTCAACTTTATCACTTGCTAATGTGAGTGGATCATTTGCACCTGAGTCATGCTGATGAGAATAGAGTAAATTGTGTGAGCAAGGGAGTTTATTGAATCATACACAAAAATGTAGGGATGATAAGGATCAAACAGGACCTGGGAATAGCCCACAGTTCTCTCCCTCTCTCTGCCATCTTTCTTCCTCCTTTAAAGCAGCAGCACTGATGGAGAGTCCCACCGCCCCGGCCCCACCCGCCACTGGCCTCCAGCAAGGTGCTCAGCTTCCAGAAACGCTCCAACTGGTGCTTGCGGGCTGCTCTGCGGATGCAAAGCACTGCATGAAAATCTTATTATTTATTGCTGGTTATAGATAATGGGAAAAGCAAGGGGCAGCCTTGTCCCGCACGGCCCACCTAGACTTCTGCAGAGTGAGTGCAGCCCCTGTGGAGGATCCCGGCTGCGACGCTGTTTGTTGGCCGGCGGCCGCGGAGGTCTGCGCTCATCGTGGTCCCGGCTCCACTTGGACTTCCTACCCTGCCATGTGTTGATAAACAGAAAAAAAAATGTACAATGGATTAATTGAAGTTCATAGTTAAGCAGAGTACAGCAGTGTCTGGTCAGAAGGGGAATTTCTGCATTATTGTTTTGCTCTCTTCACTCAGAGGTGGGACTTTCTGAAACAGGAACAATTCACAGGACGCAGGTCTGGATTTTTGAACGCCCCCAGGGTTAGATCCAGGGCAGGGTTAAACGCCAGTAGGCAAAAGAACAGCAAGGCCAGGAACAAAGGGGACGTGGGTGTTGCGGCACAGGCTAAAGGCAGGCTGGCTCCTAGGAGCAGAGGAAGGAATTGCCAGGGAGTTACGGGGCTCGGGCACGCCACGTCCCCAGAGATGGGCACCGCCGGGAGAGCACGGGCAGCCGCAAGGCGAGGCCGGGGGGCCCGGGGGGGTCACCGGGCAGTGCCCGGCAGCGGGATCCACCAGCGCCGCTCCGGGGAGCAGCGAAGAGCAGCCACCCACCCTTCCCCAGCAGCACCCGTCCCCGGGGGACGTCCCGGCCGGTCCCGGCGCGGGGTCCCCGCCGTGACCCTGAACCTCGCGGCCCCCCCGCGCTGCGGCCGGCCTGTGGGGTTTGCACCAGGGTCCTGCTCCTCGCAGACAGGCCTGGGGCCTGCGCCTGGCAGGAGGTACCGCGGGATCGGGCCCAGAGCAATCTGTTCCCAGGGAAGTGGGTGGTAAATTAATGGAAACGGGAGAACAACTCCCCTGTAGCTTCAAACGGGGCGTTATCAGCGAGCAGAGCTCTAACGAGCCACCGAGAAGGCTGGAGCCCTCCGTGCCATTTCATCGCTGCTGCTCTGCGTCGGATTTCCCAGGAGCCCTGCAGCCGCCGGCCTCATTAATTATGCAAATGAAAAGGTGCTGCCAACGAGCCAGCCCGAGGTAGGGTCCCCGTGAGGAGTCGCGCTCCCAACGGCGGCCGCTCCCCTGCGTGCGGGCACGGCGGGTCCGGGAGCACATCAGGCAGGATGGATGTTTGCAATAATTATCCAGTCATCCCCTTCAAGTGTACTGCAGCCATAGCAACAGACAGATGTTCTGTCCCAGCCAGAGTCCGCAGCGAGCTGGGGAGAGAAGCACAAAAATTAACCCGTTCGGCCCCAGGACGACACAGAATCCCCTTTATTCAGGGGCCAGACCAGACTTCAACATCCGTGGGAAAATTCTAGGAAATCGAGCAAGAACCCAACCGCACGCCTCCCAAATAAAATCAACAGAAACCGCCCCACCGCTCCCTCAGCCACTGCCCGGCGCGAAAAGTTGGATGAAGAAGCGGCACCGCGCGGGCCGGTGGCCGGGCTCTGCCGGGTGCCCCGCTGCTCTCGGCCCGTTACGGGTAACGAGCCCTGCTCGTGCTCAGCGTCTCCAGGGGCGACGCGGCGGGCGAGGCTCCCCAGCTCTGCCCGTAACGAGCCTTTGGAGACGTGTGGCACTGGGGAACCTGCTCGGGGACGGCTGTGAGCAGCACGTTCTCTGCGGGCAGCACCCGGACGGCAACCGCAGCACCCGCCGCCCCGGGGCACCCAGCCAGGCAGCGGAGGGGACGGAGGGGCCACAGCGACGGGCGCCCAGCGCAGTTAAGAGCCATGCCAAAGAGTTTGAAGTATTCAGAGGTGGGATGAGGCCAGACCGAAGAAATAGCCGTCTTTTTGTTATCCTGCTGCTGCCCGGGCTTCCAAAATTCAGCCTGAGTCCATTATATCCCATCCAGAAATATCACAAGGGCCTTCATGCCCACCAGAACACTGAAAACTTAAACCAGCTTCTTCTAGGGGCCATGATGAGCACGGCAGCCCTCCCCAGGCACAAAGTCTCTGCTGCCTCCTCCCTTCCCCGCTGGCCAGCCATGCCTTTAGGCACTAGCATTTAAATGTTTTAAGCTAAAGGCCAGACCCCCACCTCGCAGCTCCCTTCTGAAAGGATCCGAGCTGCCCACCCTGGCCAGGACTCGGCTCCCCTGTCCCATGCCAGCCATGCCCAGAGGTCCCGCAGAGGCAGTGGGGATTTCTCAGAGCCCAGAGCCCACCCCCTGACCTCAGAGCAGCGTAAACGGGCTCGTGGGAAAGCCCCATCCAGCTGTTTGCAGCTGCAGATGCTGCTGGAGTGCACCCACAGCGAGGATTTCAGAGGAGGACGAGGGGACGGGGGAGGACGGCCCGGCCCGAGCAGATGTGCCTGGAGGGACGGGTTACACCTGGAGGAAGGGAGCTGACCCACTCCTCTCGGCTGGCGGAGCGAGACAGCCCACTGCCCTGCACACAGGCACAAGTGTGAGAGGTCACAGGAACACAGTTTCACTTCCCAAACTGTAAGACTATTTTTGGTTCATATTACTTCCCCTCTTGTCCTCTGCCACACAGACAATGAGAACTCCAGCTTGCAGAGGGCACCCCGTCTTCTCCAGGCTCGCCTGGTGACAGCTTGTACCGCGTTAGCACAGCCTACCCTGGAAATCTGTGGTCTCCCAGTTGGTTTTTTCCTTCTTTCTCCTGAAGGAAAAAAAAAAAAAAAGCAGAGAAGGGTAAATTTGCTGATCTTGAAACTGAGGGAGATGTGGCATCATGTGCAGTCGCCGAGGATGTGGGCAGGTGCCATCAGACTTCCCCACGCAGCTCTGGAAATGTAGCTGAGTCCTGATCTGCAGCTCCCTGGCTGTTCCTGGCCCGGGCTCCCACACAGCCCCGGCAGCGGGTGGGTATTTCGGTCCCCGCCACAGCGCTCAGCCTGCTGCGCTCCTTCTGCGGCTTTTCCCCCAAGCACATCAATTGAGCATCCACGTGGTTTGATTCCCAGCCCTCTGAAGCCACGCTGGAGACAGGAGAAGGAGGTGGGAAAAATGTCTATTATTTCCACAAATCCAACTGTAACTCCGGCTCCTCCGCTTGTGTCAGTCCCAGGCCTCTCCCGCGCAGAAGCCACACCAAACAACGTTTTGGTGCTGTGACATGGACAGAAAGCCAACAGGCTCCAGAAGGAATTCATGCTCTTTGCTGACTACCCTTAGCTGCTTTGACTTATTATCTGACCTGGATCTAAATTAGGCTTTGATTAAAGTCAAGAATAATTCTACATGGGAAAGTCTCGTTGTTTAGGTTCAGAGTTAGCAAAAACTACAGGAGAATTAAAACTGATTTCTCACTCTGGGGACAGAGACCCCGACGGGACCTTGGCCGGTGCCCAGTGCCCCGCCGTGGGAGGCAGCCACACCGTGCCACGTCATTCGTACCCTGACCAAGCTCTGTTCCCACAGCGCCCAGCTCCCCTCCCCAGTTCTCCTCCGAGATCGCTCCTGCAGAGACTGAGGGCTCCGACGCTCGGTCAGCATCTCCTCATTTCGAGCGTGGGTTTATACACGGTCTGTTTATTCCTACTCCTTGTGCCAGGGTGGCGCGGGGGTTTAGCCCGTGTCACTCCCTGCTGTCTCTCTCTCTTGACTGTCCACGAACGCATCTTCTCTCAGCGCTCGTTTTGCCGCGATCGGTGAGCCGAGTCAGCTCTGTAAGATGCTCCCCCTTCTCCGGAAGAATCCAGCAAACTCTCTGCACTACTTTCCGCCTGCGTTCCCTCGGTATGGCCAAGGGAACCAGAGAGCAGCCCGGAGCCCCGCCACAGCCTTTATACTTCTCTGCACCTCTCTCAAAATGACTCTCCCGAGACAACTGGGGATCGTTCCCCTTTTCCTTGACTGCATCCCCTTGGCAGGTCACAGCGGTACCGTTGGTGGGTCACAGCTCTCCCATCCAGCCCCGGGTAGGTGAACGTCTCAGACGCAGACTGTGAGACACACGGGCTCCCTTTGTGTTTGATGGGAAGAATAAAGGCAGCTCCAGCGAGCGATTCATCTCACTCCACGATGAGCGTTTAAAGCACCGGGATGAATGGTTTCTGAAGGTGATCATCGTTGCGCGTTGACTGTAGAGGCAGCTGAGACACCTGGGTGACACTGGCTGGCTGGCTTTGGATGCCTGAAGTTACGAGAGCCAAACGCTCATCCGTAGTGATCCCATAAGTACCTCACCGTTCCTCTATCCTTCCCCAAGGAAGCACTCCCCGCTGCCAGCAGAAGGGATGGTTATTAGCTCCCGAGCTCACTCTGCGCTGCTTGCTACCAGGCTACATCTGCTGGGGGGTCGGGTTCCCCCCATGCCCCCTCCCGCTGCCGGCCTCTCTTATCCCACCCAGCAGCACCCAGGGGTGTTCGGTAAGTGGTTCCAGTTTGGGTTCTCAGGTGCGAATCCAGATGCCAACCAAGAAAACCAGTGTAGCTGGGGACACTGCAGGGCACCCGCTGGCACCCGCTGGCACCCACTGGCACGTCATCTTCTCCAGCTGGGATCCGTGGGGCGCTCGCTGCTGGCCTGCTGTGCAGGACTTTTTACGTGGTGTTTGGCTGCCCTCGTTTCCAGCTGATAAATGGCATTTCAAACAGCTTTGAGGAGAAGGGTACTTTCCAGTTACGAATTTCCCACGAAGCTGTAAAAGTACCTGCGGGGGTATCCGGGGTGGGGGCTGGGAAGCGCCCACCAGTGCCACCCACCAGCGGGCAGCCCCTCTCGGGGCGGCTCGGGGAGCCCCCGGGAGGGTCCCGCAGGGCGGGGGGACACTGCTCCCCCCCGGCCCGGGCCCGGCTCTCCCACCGCCCTGTCCCAGCGAGGCAGGAGCCAGGCTCTCGCCGAAGGAGCGGGAGCCCGGGGCAGGGGCTCGGAGCCGAGGCTGGGGCTCGCTGTGCTCGCGGTGCTGGGTGTGCGGTGAGCCCCGAGCGCTGACACAGCTGGGCACGATGGCTGGGGACATCCCGGGGACGCGGGAGCGCGGCCGAGCCGAGCCGGAGCCTCCAGCCTGCCGCGCTGGCCCTGCCCTGATCAGCATCAGACCCACCAAGTGCTACGGTGGAAAACTGGGGAAGGAAATACCCTCAAAGGAAGCGCCTTTCTCACTCCTGACCATCAGTTTTAGACTTACCTAACGCACGAGTGCTTATCTCACCCTTCTCTTTCTTAAATCTGCACCTTCTCAGGTGTTTCTCCTCCCAACGGGCACCTGGTCCTTTTGCATTCGCATTCTCCGTGGTGATAAGTTTCAACGGTTAGTTATCAGATGGGTAAAAATTATCCGGTTTTATCCATCTGGATGACTCATGTTTCTGTGGATCATCTCTTTTTCTTGTACCTTGAGAAGGGACCTCTACACACACACCATGTACCTTCTCTGGACACCCCCCATGCTACAGCAGCACTGCAGCCTCCCCTCGTCAGCCCCCATCCCAGCTGAGCTGCCCTGATATTTCTAATTAAGCATTTTCTAGATATTAAAATCACTAATTCATGATTTCCTTGAGTTTATGCGTGTGAAAGAATAATCACAAACCAATAAAATAGTCCAGGCTCTGGGGTACCCCTACCTGAAAGAGTGTTACAAACAGAACTAATGTCTGGTTAATATTTGTTGGAAGTTACTAAGAACTGCTTTTATTTATACAGCACAAATAGCAATGGACCTGGAGTTATCACGTGTTTGTCTATGAAGTCCCCTGGAGCTTGTGCTGAACATCACCCAGCATCTCTGTCATCCAAAACTGAGAGTTTAAGGACCAGTGCCACCAAACACTCCCACTCTTTAAATTTTGTTTCTATCATTAAGGACAAGGGTGGCCTCCATATGAGGCATAATAATCTGGCATGTCATGAGATTGCTCATGCAGTGCAAGTTAAACCCTTGTTGGATCCATGCTGGGTTGGGACCTAAAATATTGAGTGTTCACTCAGGCCCTGTGTGAGTGGTCTTCCCAAACCCCTCGTTCAGAGGAAAACAGCTCTGGGTTTGGCTGCCCTTGCCTTCCCAAACTGGGGAAACTCCCGTCCATGCTCTCCAAAGAGGGACCCTCTGTGTCGCTTTCCAGGTGGACTCCCAAGCCTCTTAACACCGAATGGATTCAGCTACTCACATCACAGAGCAGACAAGACATTTAACTGCGACTATGAACAAACCAAAGGGGGTGGAAGGCAGGCGAGAGCCCTAGCCAGAGGAGCAGCTAGCAGGGCATGGCTCGCCACATCGAGAGGACAGCAAGCCCAGCTGTGCACCAGACTAAGGTCATTCCCTGGAAATACTGCACGTTCCAGCAGCCTTCTACAGGGGACAGTCCCTGCCAGGGGGAAGACCGCTGAAGAAGACCCCTTTTCTGGGACAGACTCAGGCCCTTCAGCTGGTGTCTTACTCTGTAAAGTGTCGCTCAGGCCAAGGAGGGGTGTCTGTTAATCATTCGGGAAAATACAATATTTATCACTCCGCCCTGTGCTAATAGAGCTAACTTTTGACGGTCATCATGATTTGGCAGTGATAAAACTCAAATTGGTGCTGTTCACGTGAAAGTATCTGCATTCAGTGGACATGCAATCTCTTCCCTCAGCTTCAGATGGGTGGGCTGAGGTAGGAGAAGACTCTGTCCGTGCCTACGGTGGTGCGAGAGGACATTCCCTTTTCCCTTGGCTCCCGAGCGGCTGAAGTGCAGGGTGGGGAGTTCAGTGATGGCCTCAGCCAGGAGGTCTGATCACGGTGAAGAAGGCAGCACCACCCTTGGCTCGAGCAACTCCTCGGCAACAGCAAAGTGTCCTTTTACTCTCTTCCCCACTCAACATCGGCAAAGCAGTGGGACTCCGGCACCGAGCGCCTCCCTGGCAGTCCTGCACAGCCAACTGCCTCCACACCTCCACAGAGCTCCCACAGGAATTCCCGCGGCCGCCCCAGGGCCAGCCGGCTCTGGACACCGAGTTCCGTGCAGGGGGGAGGCCCACGGGCTGTGCAGGCCAAGGGCTGAGCCTGACTTCATCCGCGACATCTCTGCGGGAAAGTTGCCCACCGAGCCCCAACTGTGCAGAATATCCTTCTCTTTTCTGCCATTTCCATCCCCCCAGCGGCTCCTCGCAGCAGTCCCCCGAGAAAGCTGCGCTTCCATGGCTGACTGAGGCTTGAAAGGATGTCCATCTTATTTTTAGTGGTCAGCAAAAATACTGCAGTGCACTAGCAAGTTCCTGTAGGCATCCTGTATTACATGCCTTTGGGTAGAAAACCCAAACCAGGGAAGATCTGATGCTCCGCAAGTCCCTCTCCATCAGCACCATCTTGGGCCCAGCGCAAACGGGATGGTGGCGCTGGGAATTTTTTGAAAGGTGCCCAGAAATCCAGTGGGGTAGTGAGGGTCAACATGATTTGCAATGGCATATTTCAATAATTAATTTCTGTGCTCCAGTGTCACAGACACCCCCTGTTTCCACTGTCCCCCTCTGGCATGGCTAGCCCGTGGCTCAGCTCCCGCAGCATCCAGCGCCCACCTCGGGGACGTGTCGGATGGGACGAGGGGCAGCGAAGTGCCCTCCCCTTCCCCCTGCCTCCAGCCCCGGGCGTGCGGCTGTGTGCCGGCTGGCTCGGCCACCCCCGCGCCCGGCACCTCCAGCACCGGCCTCAGACAACTCCCTGACACATCAAATTCCTCTTCCAGGTTCCCACAGGCTCCCGGCTCCTGCTCCGACGTCCTCACGCCAGCCCTACCGCCGCCGACAACGCAGGCTGCCCTCGGTGCGCACCGCGGCCGTGCGCCCAGCGGCACGGAGCACACGCGTGGCAGTGCTGGGTGGGCACGGAGCACACGCGTGGCAGTGCTGGGCGGGCACGGAGCACACGCGTGGCAGTGCTGAGCGGGCACGGAGCACATGCGTGGCAGTGCTGAGCGGGCACGGAGCACACGTGTGGCAGTGCTGGGCAGGCATGGAGCACACGTGTGGCAGTGCTGGGCGGGCACAGAGCACATGTGTGGCAGTGCTGGGCGGGCACGGAGCACACGCGTGGCAGTGCTGGGTGGGCACGGAGCACACGCGTGGCATTGCTGGGAGGGCACGGAGCACACGCGTGGCAGTGCTGGGCGGGCACGGAGCACACGCGTGGCAGTGCTGAGCGGGCATGGAGCACATGCGTGGCAGTGCTGAGCGGGCACGGAGCACACGCGTGGCAGTGCTGGGCAGGCATGGAGCACACGTGTGGCATTGCTGGGCGGGCACGGAGCACACGTGTGGCAGTGCTGGGCGGGCACAGAGCACACGTGTGGCAGTGCTGGGCGGGCACAGAGCACACGCGTGGCAGTGCTGGGTGGGCACAGAGCATTTGTGTAGCACTGCTGGAAAGGCATGGAGCACATGTGGCATTGCCAGGTGGGCACAGAGCACATGTATGGCACTGCTGGGTGGGCACAGAGCACATGCGTGGCATTGCTGGGTGGGCATGGAGCACACGCGTGGCGTTGCTGGGTGAGCACGGAGCACCAATGGGCAGACAGGGAGCACATGTGTAGCACTGATGGATAGAGAAGCCAGGGAGAATGCGTGGCACCCACAGACCAGGACCACACGCGTGGGACGGATGGGCAGACAGGGAGCACATGCGTGGCACGGAGTACACCCGTGGCACTGCTGGCCAGGGAGCACACGCGCGGCACCACCCACGGACAGACCGAGAGCACACGCGTGGCACCACCAGAAACACGGCACATGCGTGTGGCTGCCGGGGACACAGAGAGCCGCAGCTGCCGGCTGGGACGGGCGGCCCCAGCTCGCCCCCCCCGGCCGGCTGTGGCCGCCCACCCCCTGACCCCCCTCGGAGATGGAGGAACGGGACCGTGGCCTGAGCACCCCCCCACACCCCCCCGCCGTGGCGGGGCTGGGTCACGCCGCGGGACAGCCGCCCCCCCGCCCCCGGGAGGATGCTCGCCCGGGGACCAGGCGCGGAGGGCGGGGGCGGCTGCGGGGGGAGCGGAGCGAGGCACCGGGGCCGGGGTCCGGCCTTTGTCTCCCGCTCCGGGGCTGGCAGGATCGCGGCTGCCCCGGGGCCGGGCCCGGAGCGGGGAGGGGGGCGGGGGGGGGGGGGGCGGTTCTCCCGGGCCGGCGGGACAAACCGCAGCCTCTGGGCAACCCGCAACCGAGGGACGCTGCGGGGCGATCCCGACCCCTTTCCCGGCTCCGTCCCGTTCGTTTCAGCACCGTTCCGCTGGGGCGGCCGGACCCCGCCGTTACACCACCCCCACCCCCCCCTCCTTTTTTCTTTTTTTTATTTTTTTATTTTTTTTTTTCCCCCTCGGCTCCTCCCCGGCTCTGCGGCGGCTCGGCAGGTGCCCGCCCCCGCCCCCGCCGGCCCGTCCCGCCGCACACGTGCGCCCGCGCCCCGCCGGCCCTTTGTCTGGGACCGGCACCTGGACCCGCGCCCCCCAAAACCCCCCCCCTCCCGCAGCTCATCCACCCTCCCCTCACCCCCCCGCGGGTACTCCCGTACGGGCCGGGGAGCGGGGAGGGAGGGGGGGTGAGGAGGAGGAAGGAAAGGGGAGGGGGGGGGGCCGGCCGAGCGCATCCCACCGGCAGCGCTGCGGGGAGCGGTGGGCGCGGAGCGGGGGGAGCGGCGGCCCCGGGGCGGGCCGGTCGGGGGATGTTGGGGGGGGGGGCCCGGCAGCGGCAGCGGCCGCTCTAACAGGTGGGATCCCGCTGAGAGGAGGAGGCGGCCGGAGGGGGCGGAGGAGGCAGGGACGGGCGGGCGGGCGGGCGGAGGGAGGGAGGGGGGACGAGCCGGAGCCGCCTGTGATCCTGTGACAGGAGCGGCTGCTGCTGCTGCTGGCGCCGCCGGTGCCTCCCTCCGCCCGGCTCGCCGGGTCGCTGTCCGAGCCCCGGCGCGACCCCCCCCCCCTCCTCTCCCCACCCCGACTTGCCGCGGTTACCCACCCCCTTCGCTCCCCCCCCCCTCCCCTTTCCCCCCCCCTTGCCTTCCCCGTTTCCCTCCCCGCTCCATCCCGGTGGTCGCCCCCGCAGCCCGTCCCGGGCCGCGCCAGCTCGCCGCGCCGCCCCGGCTGCCCCCTCCGCCCGCTCCGGGACAGGGCGCGGGGCCGGGCGCCGCCGCCGCCGCCGCTGCCGCCGCCGCCGCCGCCGCCGCCGCCGCCGGCCGGGCGATGCCGAAGCCGCCGCTGCTGCTGCGGGGGAGCCGCCCCGGGGACAGCGAGCTGGGGCGGCAGTTCCGGGACTGGTGCCTGCGCACCTACGGGGACTCGGCCAAAACCAAGACGGTGACCCGGAGCAAGTACCAGCGCATCGCCGAGGTGCTGCAGGGGGGATCCGGCTCCGGCGGCGGCTCCGGCGGGGGGGAGAAAGGCAAGTTCCAGTTCTGGGTCCGGTCCAAGGGCTTCCGCCTGGGAAACGGCACCAGGGAGGCGACGAAGATGGGTCAAGTGGTGGTATATGTGCCGGTGAAAACGGGAACGGTTAGTGCGCTCCGTGCCCCGGGGGCTCTGTGTCTGTCTGTCTGCCTGCCTGTCCGTGTCTGTCTGTCCTCCCCGGGGGTGCGGGCGGGGGGGGGTGGGATGGGGGGGGGGTGGGGGGGACGGTTGCCCGGGGCGGGGGCGGGCATCCCCCGGGGCCCCCTGTCCCCCGCCACCGCCACTGCCGCGCCGGCCCTGTCCCGTCAGCACCGGGCGGCCCAGCCCCGCCGCGCCGCCGGCCGCCGGGAGCGCGCATGCCCCATGCGGGGCGCGACGCGGGGCCCGGCCGCTCCCGCAGCCCCCGCCGCTCCCGGGGCACCCGCCGCGCCCCCGCCGCCCCGACCCGCCCGGGATGCGGATGGGGGAGAGGCGCCCGCCCGGAGCCTCGCACCTTTCCGCTGACCCCCCCCCCCCCCCCCCGCACCACCCCCCCCCCCCCCCACACCCCCGTCCCCGTCCCATCCGGTGCGGCCGCCGTCCCCGGGTGCTGCCGGCGGGGGGGGGAGGGGGGCGGCGGTGCCCCGCGCCCCACGCCGTGCACCTGCCCCCGCGGGGGGGGGGGGGCGTGGAGGGGGGGGGGGGGGTGGCCCGCGCCGCTGCCCGGTGCTAGTCCCGCTGCCCCCCCCCCCCGTTCCCCCCCCCCCGCCCCGTCCGATCACGTTCGCCCGGCATTTCCCATCCGCCCCACGGCCGGGGACAGGTCTGCAGTCAAGGGCAGAGAGCGGCGGGGAGGGGGCGCCGGCACCCCCCGCCCCCGCCGCCGCGCCCTGCCCGCCCGGCCGCCGCGCCGCGCCGAGCGGAGCCGAGCGGAGCCGAGCGGAGCCGAGCGGAGCCGAGCCAGCCCGGCCCGGCCCGGCCCCCGCGTCCCGCCGCGCTGCCCGCCCCGCCGCGGCCGCTGCAGCCGGTGCCCCGGGGGGGTGCGGGCAGCGGCAGAGCCCGGATTAGGGCAGCCCCCCCCCCGCCGCCCCCGCGGGCCGCCGTCCCGGGAAACTCCCCCGCCGGAGCCTCATTGTTCGGCGCCCCGCCGGGCCGGCGGCGCGGGGAGCACCGGCCGCCTCCCTGCCCGCCCCGCCGCCGCCCCGGGCTGCCCCGCCGCCCCATTGTTCCCGTCCCGAGCGCGCCCCGCTCCCCGGCGCGGAGGGAAACGCGCAACTTTCGCGGCCCCCGGCCCTGCGCGCAGGGGTGCGCCCGGCGCTGCCCCGGCCCCGCTGCCGCCGCGGCCCGGGGGGGGCCGCCCCGCCGGGGACCGCTCCGGGCCGGCGGCCACCGAAGGGCTCCGGGAGGGACATTTTTTTTTTTTCTTTTTTTTTTTTTTTTTTTCCTTCCCCCCCCCCCCCGTCCCTCCCCTCCTCTCCCCGCTGCTGCTGCTGCTGCTGCCGCTGCTCTAAAGGGTGCAGTGTTTTCTGTGCACACACAGACTCCAGCATTGATGTGGCTGGAGGATGCTTCCATTGAGGGCAGCCCATCTGTGGCAAATGCTTCTAAACGCACTATTTACCTCCCATCTGGTCTGCCTTATTATTGGGGGGAGGGGGAAGGGTCATTATTTCTCCCTTTCCCTTCGTGGTGCTCAGAGGCTCCTTTCTTTCTCCCCTTGCAGCCCCCCTCCCCCATGCCATGCCCCAAAAAAATTCTTTGCAATTTTTTTTTGAGACCTCTTTGCAGCCCTCCTCTCCTGCTTTCCCCCCCCCCCTCCCCGAGAGCTCCTGCCGAGGGCGGATTAGGAGTGGTACCCCCTTCCGCAGATACAGCACTTCCCCCGGGTCCTCTCCATCTAGCCGGCGACTCTATCCCAGATCTTCCAAATGCTGCAGAGTCATGGTACCCCAGAGAGGCCGAGCCAGACTCCCTCGACCCTGCTGCTAGCTAGACGCCCCCTCCCCTTTGTCCGGGAGGGAGTCCCTAGGGTCAGCAGCTCAACGAGGCCGGCGCAAGCCCCTGTATTCCCAAAGGGCTTCTGCACAGATGAAGTTTCAGCCAGGAGCCTGTCTAGGCCCCCCGCATCTTCTGTGGCAGAGTCCCTGCAGGCTACAGATAGGAGATACACCCAGGCTCCGGTAAACCAACAAACAAAAAGCAGGCATGCCCTCGGGGGAACAACTGAATTTTCCGAGGGGCAATAGGGCTTATTTCCCAGCGCCCGCGGTGCCTGCCGGACGCTGGGGCTGGCGGCGCTTTGCAGAGCTGTAGGGAAGGTCAGTCATCGCGCGCCCCAAAATCCTCCGGCGCTGGGGCTGTGGAAGTTGTTGCCCCCCTGGCCCCTCCGGCCCGGCCCTCCCAGCCCCACCGTGCCGCTCTGCCCGGAATCCCGGGGGCCGTTTCAGACGGAGGCAGTTGCTGCCTTTTGGTTTTGCCTGAAGTGGCTCTCAAATTTAGAGATAACTTGACAGGGATTTTCTTCAGCTCCTGATAATTCAGCGCTCTCCTCGTCCTCGGTGGTTTGGGCTGGGTTTGTGGGTGTATTTCATTTCTCTCATGCATGCAGTCAAATAATTCACAAAGCTGATACGAGCCTTTTGCTCGACAGTAAAACGTGTATTCTGGTTTAATGCCTGTTCAGCTGCTTTTCCCAAATACTTCTGGAGCGGCGTTTCGGTTGCTTTCTCCCGGCTGTGCTCCTCAGCAACCCGATACGGCTCGTCCTGTCCGCCCGTCCTTCTCGGAGCACATCTGCCGGAGGAGCAGCGTGCTCGGGACTGTCCCACGGCTGAAGAGACAGGCAAAGCGCCCGCAGCCGGGCTGCGGCGGAGGGGGAGGCGGGGGGGTGCGCGCCGCTCTGCTGTATCTGCAGGTCGCTACAGGAAATCCGAGGTACTGGGAGTGAAAGCTAGAAGAGAGGTGGTAAAGAGAGCGTAGAGGGCAGCAGTGGGGATAAGATCTTTCCTTCCCCTGACAGGTCTGGGGCCACTCCTCCTCTGGAAAAAAAAAAAAAAAAAACAAAAACCAAACCCCAACAACCAGATAATCCCAACCCCAAAAAATAATAACCCCCCGGTAGAGCTGTTCCTTTTGTCTTACTCATCCTGAGCTGGTTTATGTATTTTTTTGCACATCTGTAGTGAAAAACATAATTAGGATGTGGTTATTATTTTCTCTCCCGAGTAACTTTCCCTTGCCCTCCTCCAGGCCTCTCATCAGAACAGGCCTAATCAGATTTGGGTGGCTTGAGAGCTGGGACTGTGCGCTGAGAAGGGGGCATCTGCCTTAGGTGGTGGTCAGAGCAGATGGTGGTCTTCTCAAAGAATGCACTGGGAATAGGAACAGCAGTGCGGACGGATGTCTGGCACAGAGACTGTTCAGATTTCTTTTTCCCAGATGAACGTCCCAAAGATGCTGGACATTTAACACATACAATTAAAAAAACCCTACGCGGATAACCACGCGAGGTTTGGCAGTGTAGGACACTGTTGTCTGACAGCCCTGTTCACGTACGGGCTGGATGCTGCATCCTTTAGGTCAGGGAGTTGGAAAAAAAAAACGCGTTTAGGGCTGTACTGAGGAGGAGGAGGAGGGTATCTTTGTGTGCTGCCGCAGCACAGACAATGGATACAGCCCAAAGTGCCCAGATCTGCCCTTTTTCATGTGGCCAATGCGCACCAAGGTGTAAACCGCCTCGTTAGGTGCGGACTGGAGCGAACCCCAGTGCTGGATGCGCAGCGCTCCCCCCTTCTCCCCAGGTTTGCTGAGAACTGTGGGAGAATTTGCTCATGACAAGGTGCTAAGACGCAGTTCATTAGAATCTCGTGTCCCTCTTGTCCTAAGCATTTAGCATCATTTAGACAGTTTTTCTCATATGAATGTAGAGTGAGATGGAGACACGGCGCAGGGAAACGGACGGGGCTTTGGTGGCAAGGGGGGCTGCGGATGGCTTTGGCTGGCGCGGGGGGTGTGCGGGGTGGGGTGTGGGGGGGGGGGGGTCGGCCTCAGACTTCGGTTCGGGCACGATGTGCGGGAGCGGTTACGCACGCTTCTCGAAATCGGCGTGCGCGGTGGGAGCCTGTCACAACTGGAGTGGCCGCCGGCCTCGCGGGACGGGGGCATCGCGGCAGCCCGTGGCGTGGGCTGGGGGGGGGGGGGGGGGGGCTGGGAAACCCAGCGTCGGGCCGGCCCCTCGGGGGCTCGGGGGGCTCTGCCGTGCTGCCCGCGTTGGAGTTGGCTTTCCCGCTGGTGCGCTGTCCCCCGCAGAGCTGGCACGAGGTTCCGGGGCCCTTGGAGGCGTTACTGGAAGGCGGAGGACATCTGTGCGGGGGCCGGGGGGGGGGGGGGGGGGGGGGGTTGCTGTTGTTGTGTGAGTGCGATTCACCTGCGCTGGCTCACCCAGATGCTCGAAATTATTTCACAATTGTGCCGGGTGGAACTCACCTGAGGAAAGGTGCTGTAGCGGGGGAGCGCTAGAAAGAGAATTGGTGAGACCAAAAAGCAAAATGGATGGAGGCCTTTCACCGAGGGCAGGAGAAGCACCACATGAGACACGGGATAAATCTCGCAATGCAGCCTACCCCTCAGTCCGGTTTAGCTCCAGAGACAGGGCGTGCTGTGATGTGAAGCCTCGGGACAGCACAGCGCAGTGGCAGAACGCTCGAGCTGAGGCGCCGGGCATGTCGGAAGGATGCTGCTCCAACAGCTAATAGAGGCCACATTTTTCCTGGTACAAGTACCCTTCAATGCCCATATTCAGTGCCCCAAAAAGCTGCACATCTATAACCTCTAAGAACATTAGTCAACAGAAGGTTTTCACTCTGTGAATAACCACTTAGACTTTCTGTGGACTTCAAGTGATAAAAAAAAAATAAATCAAGACCATTCAGAAGAGCCTTAGACAGGGCAAATGGGCCTGAGGGTATTATCTGAGAAATTGTCTATTACTTCTATAGCACTAGCCTTACTTAGAGCATACAGAGCCTTCACCTGCTATGAAATAGCCAACCCCCGAGCACACGGGGCAGTGCTGGCTCCTCCGAGGAGCTGAACCCGTGGCACGTTTACATTTAAATGTGTGTTTA